AAATATAATATGGTCCAACTTTTCACCTGACGTAATCGTACAGGTTGGTCAAAATGTTTGATATTTTAATGAAACTAAATTCACAAGTTTGCTTGAAAATTATGTGTTTTGCCACTGAATATGAATATAATTGGTCTAAACCTCATATCTCTAATATATAGACTTTTTATCCTCTGGTTAACAGCTTCCACATCTACTCAATATATTAAATTTAGTCCCTTCGGTTGAGTTTATATCACAAACATACATATATTTAAGTTGCAGATGTTTTTAATATAATTTTCGTTGACGCGATTAAAATATATTAATAAAACTAAGTGAGTACATGACCTTTAATATAATTTAATAAGATACCAAATTTGATTGTAATCGATTTAATATTTCGTCGAATAATCAATGTTGAATTGTTTCGCAACATTTTTTAATATAAATAGTTTGATTCTTGCAAGTTGCATGAGTATAAAATCTTCGGTTACATCCGAGCTTAGACCTTCCTTACTTTTAACATAATTGGGATTAAACTATCCTAAGTTGGATCAAACTGGACACAATATGCTAAATGTGACACATAATTTATATATACATATGTATATGTATATAATATTTGTATCTATATGTATATAATTACAGATATATAGATTAACGAAATGTTCCGAATTGCTGATTCATAATACCTTCATCTTCAAAGGGCCACATGTACCAAGGTTTATCAAGATATCCTAATTTTTACTCATAGTATCAGACCGAGGCCCGCAAATCGGTCTAGTAATTCCAATAATTTTGATGTATATAGCCTTAGTAACGTGAAAGGGGGCTTAGAAAAAACATATCTATCTGCTCGGAGCCACTTGTTGGTTTCAAAACATATGTTCATATCTTTAATAATTAAAAAGTTCAAAGGTGGCTATTTGTCGTGTTTGCTTTATTGCTATTTCGTATTAGGGCAGCTGAGAAATGAAACACGGTTTGAAACTTTCTAGGCAAGAACAAAGGATTGATATGCTCTGCAGCGTTGTAATAGTTATACTTATTTAAAATTTGAATTTCAAACCCCCCCAAATACTGTTATGGGATTCTGGAGCTTTGAACTGTCAACGGAGTGGATTTGATGCCCTGAGCTGCTTCCTGTCATCGCGGAAATTGCATTTGTTTTATTTATTTGAGTTTCCGCATTTGCCGCGAGCGCGTTCATTCATGGCTTTACCCCTGCTCCCGCCCGCGCCACCTGCTGCGTTTATGTATCAATTTGCAGCTAATGTGCATAGAATGTCGCGCCAAGGAAATAAATGCGCTGCCAAAAAACATCAATTCAACGACGCTCCAGCTCTTGGCTGGTACGACAGCCGCCTGCCGTCTGCCGTCTACCGAAAAGAGCAATTACTGCTCGTTGAACACATGAATGTTTGCTTGAGTTTGTGTGTGCCACAAGGCATGTCATAACGTTTTCATTTAGGCACGCTTCACGTCATTTGCATCGCTGTATTAATGTATGCATGTATGTTTGTCGGAGAGAAGGCGAACGAAAGCCTCAGCACTTCCTTGATCCCAAGGCAAAACGCAGCTATGTCGCTTTGTTGGCATTTATGTTGCCATTTATCTTCCAGTCGGCTGACTCGCTAATCCTGGGCCGGTGGACGCATTCGGGGCTTTGCTTCAGTAGATTCTAACTTTATGGCGCTTCCGTTTGCCTTCGAGCTACGACTGCTCAGTTTGGGTTTTCCGCAGTGGAAGTATATCGTCTTAGCGACAAAACGTAGCGCGTAAAAATTTCTTTATTTACTTTATATCAATGTCTTTGCACTTTATGAATTATGGATTCACCATAAACATATGTACATCTCTTTTCGGCTGCAAGTCAACAGAAGTAAAGTAGATGTGAAGATATGCAAATAGTATTCAATTGGGGTAAAACTTCATTGCACTGTATACAAAAGGGCTTGTTGCAATGAATCTCTGACAGTAATAAAGACGCTGTAATAGATTTCTCGAAAAGTCCCTAACAACTAACAAGTAAGCTTTAATTTTGAGGCGCTATGTTCCTCTAGGCAGTATACACTCGTATAGTTTATCTTTAAATTAAGGAAGACTTAGTCAAAAAAAAAAAAATACAAAATTTAGCAATAACAACAACCAACAGTTTTGTATAGATTTTAACAGCTTGTACTACGCTTGTCTAACTGTGCCTGCATTCCTTATTATTGTTTTACACTTTTTAACAATAATTTTCAGTTTTATTTGGTGGTAAATTTGGGTGAAATCTGTCTGTCGGTCCAGTAAGCGCTAAAATGGTTGGATCGGAAAATAAGTGATATATCATTTATTTCTTTTGAGAAGAAGAACTGGTGAGGATTTTTGTACTGAATCAATATTATTCTACAAGGTGGGTCCACGCTCATTTCTACAAATATATTTCAAAAATCCTCACGTAATCAGAGGATTCCAGCGGGGTCGGATCCAAATAACACTGTGAATGCAGAAGTAATTCGAAGATCAATTCATACAAGTGTGCAATATTTTCCTTTCATGTGTGACATGTTACATTGTTGACTCTTCCGTCTTTCCACGCTTTGAATTGGGTAGACTCTAACCTATCAGGAACGATATGTTCAACAAGTTTCTTTGATATTTTTTAGGGTGTCAGATATCTCGATCCAATGCATTTTGTGGATGGTTTTGATGTATTCATCCGCAACCTGTTTGGGCGTTCACTGCCTTCGTCGACTTCGGTGCAAACCTGTCTTCAAGCAAACCTCATCCCAGATATTGTGTATGTAATTCATTAAATCACTTTTTATCATAGCACATTTTTGCTTAAATTTTAACTGAAAAGCCAGTCGTGCCACCACTTGTCCACGGGACAAAAAATGAAGCCACACGAAAGTGTTTCCATCATCTGTTTCATGAGTTACAAAGTGAAACTTCTTAAACAACCAAAGTTCTTTCACTTGCAAAAGTACGCGCCAAGAAAGTCTCAAACGAAAGTTTTAAGTTTAGCGAAATCAGAAATTAGCCAAAGTTATATACATATGTATATATATGTATTGATATAGCCGTTCGCTGATTAGCTTAGTGAGTCCTGCAGATGCTGGAAACTGTTGCGTGCATGCAAATTTAATTAAGAATTCCACAAATTCTTTCAATGCCAATTCACCAAAGGCAAGCCAACAAAGTCAACTGTCAGCGCTCGCACTGCTGCAGTCCGAATAAACTTCTAACCACAGCCGGTATTGGCTAAAACCAGCGTCAACCCTGCACAAATTGACAAACAAAACAAAACTAACTTCTGCACCGTCCATATTGCGTACGAGAACGCTGTTTATAGCTTTACGCTCGACGGTTAGAATGGTTTGTTGGCGGGTTTGCACAGCCCAGCGGCAACATTTGCGAGAGCGCTTTTGTCTATCTAACATATACATACCAACTTCTTCTGTGTGTATGTAAGAGCTTCGTGTTTAATGAATTTAAAATGGCCCGACAACACACGCCGTGCCCCCCGACCTACCCAGTGGGGTGGCGAGCCGCAACTTAAAATGAGTATTTTTATTTCCAAATTCCATGGGCAGTAGCCATGCACGTGTACGCTGGCACAAACAAACACGCACACGCACACACACATTAATGAGTTAACAATAAAAACGAATACTGGTCAAAGCGTCATCGTTTTATTAACGCAAGATTAAACATATTTCCGGTGGGCAGTAGGAAATGACGCTGCCAATCGTTGCTTTTGTAGTAATGTTAGCTGAAAATGGAATGCAAATTTGTGGTCGGGCATTGTGCCATCCACCAGAAGCATGAAGAAGAAGCTGAAGCATTGGACCGTTTCTGTTGTCGCCGGTGTTGCTGAAAGGCGGTGGCACGCAGCGTTCAAATTGACCGGAATATTTGTTAATGTGATTCTTTGCTTTGTGTTCGCCACATTCAGCAGCCCAGCCCCAGCAGCACGAATCACTGAAGAGTGACATCGCAGTAACTCAGCCACTCCCAGACCCTTTAACACACTTGCAATCTAACGAAGAGTGTAATTAAATCGTCCAGTCACTGTCGCGTATCCTTAGGCCAGTCAAACAACCTGAAATTGACTTACAAATTAATAATTTTTGTTTTATTTTAATAGAAAAAGCGTAATGAACACTAATCGCAAATGATTTTTAAACACTAAATACTGATTTCCAAATATTTATTTAAATATGTAAATTCGTCGAATAAACCAAGTACATATATGGTATGTATGTAGGTAAAAAAAAATAAATTAAGCTCGAATATATGTATGTATATATTTGGGTAGTATATAATCGTTTTATGGGCTATATTAAGAGTCAAAGTTAAGTGCTAACGAAGATTTGAGTACATTTGATTTTGCTTTGGAAGAGGTTCAAAGGGCTCTGCTTTCAGCGACTTCTTCACCTACTGTCGGCCACTGGTGTTCGGTTTGATGGGTTTTGGCGTTGGTCGATCCTTCTTATCGCGCTTCATGTAATCGTAGGAATCCGTATTTGAAGTAGCAGCACCTGTGTTCGTGTTCCCGGACAACGGTTTTTCGTATTTGTATGCTCCTGTGATAGCTTTGTTCGCCTTCATTAGATCATCGTAGCGATCGTATCGGTTAGAATAATCATAAGGTGTGCGCACAATTTCTGGCAAATGCGCGTAATATACTATGCGCCGTTGGTTTCGGGGGTACTCCGGATACTTTGTGGATGCGTAGCTATTACTAGAGGGATAGGGAGTCTTATCGTAGATTTCATTATTGTACACAGGAACATAGTCTCTAGGCTCAGGAATGTCATAGCGACGATCTGGATAATTATAGTATAGTTCAGGGTATTGTGGTATTCGGGGGCTATAGCTATCATAGGGATCGTAATGCCGACGGTATAAATAATGGTCTTCATAGTTGTAGGGATCGTAACGAGAATATTGTTCGTCGAAACTTGAGAAATATCAGACCCATATTAAAAGATTGGATTTTATTACATAAATATATCGTGGAATCTTACCGATCGTAGCGACGTAAATATGGCGCATAAGAACGTGATGGATACATTTCATAATTATAGGTCGGAGTAGTAATTGGATATTTCATATCATAATGAAGCTTTGCAACTGCGAGCTTGGGCACAAGTGGCTCTGCCAGCTCTTTTGCACCATTATTGGGGTCCTTTTTAGGTTGTGTAATAAAATTTACGCGAGCTTGACGCCCTCGGGTTACATAACTGTTGCTGGCATCGGCCGTGACATCTTCCCTGTCGGTTGGTGGTCGAGATGCACTACTGAGCGCTGACGATCCATATGCGTCATTCCAGGTGGATATGTGACGTTGAGAGTAGTAGTCATAGTCGGGATCCATTATTTGTTTTTCTGCTCGTGGCATGGCAGACTCCAACTTATCATCCCCACTCCTTTCCTCCTTTTCATGCACTTTTATTTGTTGGGTGCCGATATTTTGAGTGAACTCTGATAGGCCATTGGGGGGCGATACACTTGCCAGAGGTAATCCCTTAGCATTATCATATTCTAATGTTGAGCGTTTATTACGGATAGATTTGTGGAAGCCAGATAACAAACTTCTGGCCTCATAGTAGTTTGAATCAGTAGAGTAATATTCCGGGGTGTCGTCAAACTCGAATCCTTCAAGTATTTCAACATCCTGAGGTATTTGCATAGCACATCCCAGAAGAATACAGTAACTCGCAAATAAAGGGTAAGCAAGCACCCATAGCTCATTTCGAGGCCAGCGCATATCTAAAAAAATTTATTATCTTCCTGTAATTTGAACAATAAAATGCCTTCGAGGAAGTTGAAAATATTTTTGCTTTTGAATTTTTTTTACGTTTAGCTTAGATCTTGAAAACTGGCACTCTTTAAATTATAAAAATGATTAGCATGTCCTAACTCTAACATCAGAGATTGTACTTGTATTTTCTTTGAACAGCGTAATCTACCACTCGATTCAGGTTCTGAAAAGCAACTGCAATGTTCAACTGAAATTCAATAGAAGGCATCCCCAAAAAACATTTGTGGCACCAACGTATATTTGTAATGGCCATTGTGCATTGTGGCAATAAGAAAAAAATAAATATGTCGCTTATCGTGGAATGATCAGAAAAACTGAACTCTCGCATCCAAATCCACACACACCATCACACGTTACCAACAGTAACAAAAGCAACAGTTAAAATTAAAATTAAAAAAATACATATAATAATGCTAAAAACAGCAACGATCTAACCAGGCAACGAACCCGCTAGCTTCGCCACAAAACTGGGTTGCACTCCCGGAACCACAACAACAACAATTTAACAAGCATGCGACATTTCAGTAAAACAGATCCGCTCTTTCTATTCGAAATCACTGAAGCGCGGTAAAAACTTCATATTTACATACATACACGTATGTATGAGCTCCCAAGTGTACACACATCAATAAAAAGCCACAAAGCTCGGTCTAGGTTTATACATGCTTTTGAATATGAGTACCCAATAGCAAAATTGGAAGTATTGCGTCAAGAAATGTGTTTAGGTTATCATGAAACTAGAAAGTGGCAAGGTTGTTTTACTTCTACGCAAATACAAAAAAAAAACACATTTCAATTATTCAATGAAATTTCGGCATTTTTAGTTAAATGCAGTGTCAGTTGGTTCTAAAGTTTCTAACAAATGTTTGGAATTCACTCGAGGCCATTCAAAATTAAGCTTTTTTAAATCCAATTGAGCGTTGCAGTGCAAGAAGTGAATGCCTTCAAATATCGGCAGTAAATTTCGAAAACGATCTAAGGACTTCTCATAATTACAATCTGTAATAATGAAATTTTGACATTTTTTAGTAAAATGTATGAATAATTTTATAATCTGTAAACTGGGCTCCAAATTTTGCTCCTTTGTAATATATCAGATAACTTCGAATTGGCAATTATTATGGTAGAATGGCTAGTTTAAGGCACCATAGGGTATGGAAGTGTATCAATACATACAAACATTCATATAGATTGTGTTCACTGTTCCGAATGTACCTACCAAATTGTCACTGATTTGTTTAACATGTATACAACATACATATACATATATATATCGGTATGCACATGACTAGAAATACGAATGTTTAGCCCATATTTTGCAACAGCATGCGTGACATCAATTTAATGGTGGGAAACAATTTATGTTTCCCTCTACATATGCCACCAGTACTAACATTTCATTCATTTGTCATAAGTTATAGCCAAGGCAAGTCTTCAATAAAAATCAGGTGAATTCATGCATAATACCACACACAAAGATCTACCTATGTATACGTATATGTATATACCATACATAACATGTGTACATATCTTGTGACCAGAAAGTTTCCGGAAATTGTAAATAAAAAGAAAAATGTTTAATCTTTATCAATATTTATTTTGTCGCCTTCAAAATATGCTCCTTCTGAGGCGATACACATATGCCACCTCTTTTTCTAATCATCGAAACATGTCTTGTAGGCGCTGTCCGGGATCGCTTTCAATTTTCTCTGCGAATTTTCGGTTCCACCGAGTGGTAACTTGAGTTTTGGAAACAAAAAAAAGTCGCATGGGGCCCAATCCGGTGAATACAGTGGTTGATCGATGGTATTGAATGAGTTTTTGGTCTTAAAATCGTTCAGAACTACAGCTCGTTGCGATAGCGCATTATCGTCATGAAAAATCCGCCGCGTATTGACGCGTCTCATGCCCAAATGATCGGTCAAAATATAACGAGCTGCTTCGCGGCCGATGTTTAGCTTACGTGCTAGCTCTCTGACACTCGCATCACGATTTTCGAGCACGATTTCCTTCACTTTTTTATGATATCGTCAGTGGTAGACGTCGAAGGACGACCGGAACGAGGCATGCCTTCGACAGTTTCTCGACCGTCCTTAAAGGCTTTGTACCAGTCATAGACTTGGCTTGTCGATAGAATAGATTCACCATAAGCCTTTTCTAAATTTGATGTAAATTCTTTGTTCAATCTTTTTTCCATTGTAAAAATCGCAAAACACTACTGAAGTCGACTGATTTCAATAGCTGCTGAAAACAAACTTTTCATGTTTGGCATAGTAATTAAGGACAGTGCTACCAACTTAACAAAACAAAATGCTGAAAAATATTCGGCGCGGGCAGTTTAAATGACAATTTCCGGAAACTTTCTCGTCACAATGTACTTGTATATAAAATATATTGTCACATAACTGTTACAACCAAACTATTTTGCATTTTATGTACAATACATATAAACATTATTCAGCATTAAAGAATAAATAAATATATAACCGCACATATATTTGCAACAAATTCCTTTAACTAAATTACCTATGTACTTACTCCCAAGGAAGGTGCATCATTAGAAGTATTCTTTCTGATAATATAGTAGTTTTACATCAGAAAACTTTTTACACAATTGAACAGCTTTAATCCATTCATTGCTGCTCTCGTTGGAATATTTAGTAAAATTTTCGGTCAACTTTAAAGTGTGTTTCAAAAACCTGAAATTAAATCAATATTTCAGAAATGTACAAAAATGTAGGCATTAATAATGGAAGTACAGGTTAAATAAATTTAGACATATCTGCCTGTCTCATGAAACTAATTATGTATATTCGTTGGATTCCAATGGTTTAACATGTTTATATATTGATTGGATTAAAAAATGCGCTTTTGAAAAAATTTAACAATTTTTGAAATTGTCCTAGTCATGGGAACAGAAATTAAATGTGTACACTTTTCTTCTCATGATTCCTTAAATAGTCTTTAGCGAGGAGGGCTCTGAATATGAATTATACATTGCTTGTTTTAATATGTATATTACGAAGTTCTTCTTAATTAACTTAAAAAAATTCCTTATAAACAAAAGTTGAACATTCGTACCTTCAATATACAATAATTTTTCTTGCTTTTTTAAATTATCACAATTTTAATTAAATACAGAATGCAGGTACGAAGCACATTAAATGGTTTTCTTATAAATTGCATGTGAGAGTCTATGATATGAATCATTATTAAATAAAAAGTATTAAGCATTTTTAGACTGTATGGCTATACCTTAGCAGAGTTTTAGAAACCCCTTCATTTTGAAAAATTGAATCCTCAGTTTGCAGCTTTATAAATATACATAAGAGGCAAGTCAAAATACCATTTAAGCCATTGCAAATATCCGGCAGAGCTTCCAGCATGCGCTCCAAAGTACGGCGCCTTTTAGAATGCAATTCGCGCTTTTCCAACAGTTTTAATCTAGTATCAATGGATAATTCATAATTTGCACAAGACGTTTGGACAAATTTCGCATTTCTTAACACTAAACAAATTATTTCAGATTCGTTTTTGGGACGATTAAATATTTTTATATCACTGGGCGCTGCTTTCTCGATAAGCAATTTTGCGAAGTCTGCATTTCTTTCTCTTAAATGTTTTTCAGTTAGTTCTACAAATTTTTCTACAGCTCTACGCAAAGTGTTTTTAGTTACGCAATTTAAATGGAAAACACTCTCATATTTTCGAAACGGCTGCTCAAAATGTAATAAGCCCATGGAAAGATAGAGCAAAATATCACATAATTCCGGATAATCTATTAGAGCAATATCAATTTCACCATGACTAATTTTATCTCTCACGCGTGGTCCATTTGGTGCAATAAATAAATCATATGTAAGACTAAGCAGATCCTTACTTAGCACATTCCCATTTATTAGCTGGTTTCTACTATTTGTCCCCTCAGTGGTAACGTTACTTTCAAATATTGAATCCAATGTAATATAGTATTCATCCAACTTGGCAGTAACATCAAAATTGTTTGCTTGTGCATATATCAATCGAAGTAATAATTCGATTTGCGGTATGATCAATATTACGAAATTCCAAAACTTTTTTCTTTCATAATATTGGAATAGCCGATACCAGTACTGTTTCAATGCTTTGTGTAGCCACACATGGTTTTTAATTTGTTCAATGTATTTACTCTCATAAACGAGTTCTGAAGGTAATAAAAGTTGATTTGAAACCTGGTCACACAATATTTTAAAGTCTGTAGCTTTCGGACGCTCCATCAATCGAACAATTTGTTTACTTTTAAGCTCCGAACCCAAACTGTGTATAATAATGATTAGTAATGTGGCATAATAATCTGGTATTTCTTTAGGATTTGGAAAGCCATGCCATACAATGTTCCGTAAATTGACTGCATTGGGCGTACCCATGATTATTTTCAATAAAGACATCTGAAATGTATACGTTATTTTCTGGTAAATATTTATGAAATAAACTCACTATTTTTATGCCGAATATATTGTGGAGCTCCTCTGTGCGTAGTAAGTCACGCATCAAATGCGGAGGTGTACAATTATTACTGGTAACAAAGTGCAAATTAGCCAACGCATTTTCCAGAACCGAAGTTAATAATAGAGTTTTTTCTACAGTTAACGTTTCTGCAATTTCAGTTGATTCTAAAGTTTCTAACAAATATTTGGAATTCACTCCAAGCCATTCAAAATTAAGCTTTTTTAAATCCAATTGAGCCTTGCAGTACAAGAAGTGAATACCTTCAAATATCGGCAGTAACTTACGAAAAGAATCTAAGGACTTCTCATAATTATAATCTGTAATAATTTTTCCCACATTAAATATTTAAGAATTTTAAAGGATTGTAAAAGTACCTGCTAGAACGGGATTTAAATCATCTTTATATAATGCATACAATACTATAAAATTCAACGACCAATTATCGTGTAAATACTTTTGAATTTCTTTAAGTTCAAACTTGTTATGGCTTACATAGAATTCTAAAATACGTTTATTTATTAAATTATGCTTATTCAGATTGTTCATTTTTGTTTATACAATGTTCAGAGAACGTTGATTATAATTCTACGTTCTCTGCAATGTTTTGGTTTACAGCTGATTGGCGATGACAATTAAACCTTGCCACCATCAAAAAAACTCCAGCAGTGCTGTTTATAATTTTGAACTGATTCAATTAATTTGCTAATTAAATTTCGTTAGTTAAACATTTAATACATTTAGTACTTAATATATTATATATTGAGATTTATACTTGCTATTTTTACAAGAAATATTTGAATATTGATAACATTACGCCAAAAGGCGATATTTATTGCCAACCATTGATGTCTGATTTATTACTAGATAATCTAATAATAGCTATTATCATTGCCAATATTTTTGAGGGGGTCATTTTTTTATCAGGAGGCCCAAGAAACAGACTGTTTCGACGGTGTCGGACCATAGGGAAAAGGGTGTTAGATGAGTTGGGTTTGTTGGGCATGCAAAGAGGTGGTTAGTATCATGCGGAGCCTTATTGCACGCGGGACATATGTTTGGAATGTCAGGGTCTATTCTGGATAAGTAGGAGTTGAACCTGCTGCAATATCCAACGCGGAGTTGCGCGAGGGTCACTCTGGTTCCGCGAGGCAACTCGAGCTCTACGTCTGCTATGGGTGGTGGAGGGGGGAGAGGACACCGCCCTGTGGAACTCCCTGTTTAATTCTTCTAAGTTTGGAGTTTTGGCCTCGAAACAGTACGGCAGAATGCCGACCGCTCAGGTAGTTCATGGTCAACCGCTTCAGCTCTGGAGGGAGCGTTGATTGTTCGATGTCCTTAAGTAGCGTTGTGTGGTTGACTGTGTCGATGGCTTTCGACAAGTCCAACGCTATGAACTATCTGGGCGTTTATGACGCTAAGTGCAGTGGTGGTGCTGTGCACTTTTCGAAAGCTACTGATGGTCCGCTAGATTCAGGTTGTGAGTGAACGTCGGGAGTAGCAAGGGCTCAAGTGTCTTCCCTACTGGGGAAAGGAGAGTTATCGGGCGATAGGAATCCCCTTTGTTGGCGGGTTTCCCAGGTTTCAGTAGTGGGACCACTCTTCTGACTTTCCACACATCGGGTATTTGAAGAATGGACATCGACAAGTTTGGGACCTTGGTGAGGTAGCTTACTCCAGGGCCAATGGATTTAGACGATGGTAACACATCGTTTGGCCTTGTCGGTCGAAGGGTGCAGTGTAAACTGAGGGCTAAAATAGCTCGCGCACTTCTTCGGGTCCGAGGAGTCATGGCCATCAAGTAGAGTTTCAACCTGGTCGTCATGTCTCTTCGGATTTGACAAGGCCTTGACAGTAGTCCAAAGCTTACTTATACCGGTGGAGAGATTACAGGACTTCAGGTGCTCTATCCATTTTGTCCGCTTATGTTGATTTACTATTTGCCGAATCTCCAAATCGAGATCCCTTATTCGGGGATCACAAGGATCGGCATGGCGTAGGGTGTCGCGCTCATTAGCGAATACAGCTGCTTCGGCTGGGAAATTAGGGCGGAGTTCCGCGATTCTTCCAGCCGGTATGAAGCGAGCAGTAGCAGCAGCGATCACCTTGCGGAATTGACGCTCGCCAACGATAACGTCCGTAGGTATGGGTAGTGCGTTGAAGGTGCTCTCAATAAATTCTGTGAAGCCGACCCTGTTAGCTTTGTTAAAGTTAATGAAGGTGCGGTTGTCCACAGAAATAAAGTCGGGAGGTTTCTCGATCGAGATAATTATGGGCAGAAGGTTCGATGCGAGAGTTAGCATATGTCGCCAGGTTATTTTTGGTCAGACTGGGAGTCATGCTGCCTAGAGCTCCTTAGGGCCGTAGAGGTCCTTTATTGGCCACTCGACTGGAGTGGCGGCGCAGTGCGCGAACATGGTGCAGATTGCACAGCCGTTAAGGCTGGTGTCGCAGTATTGCGTTGGCAGCATGGAACCACATAACTTGTGGTCCACTCCCTATGTGTCTTAAGGCCTGATCAGGTCTTAAGATGGCTCCATCCATTGCATGTATTGCACCTAACCGAGGTGGAATTTACACTCCAGTGGTCGTTGCTACGCGGTTTTTGAAGTGTTTTAACAGTTTGAAATCAGAGAATGGTAATATAATAAATATATATATGTATGTAGTTAATTTATGAAAACTAGCGAAGGGTACAACTAAATATTATATACTTTCGCAATTTCTTAAAATCAAAGGCATGGAAAGACTTCCATTAAAATGCTGCATACGTGCATATGTGATTTTATTTTATTCCGAAATATTTATTGATGTTTGATTTTTATATGAGAAAGGGATTTCTATTAAAAGTTGGCGGTTATATGCACGTTGCCTAATTTTTGTATTGATTCACCTGCAAACTTGCTGTGTAATTCCAACTATAAGAGCAATGTTTTCCGTAAGTTTGGCTTGTATAGTTGTAGTGGCTTGTGAGAAATGTAGGGGGCGGAGTTACGTCCACTTTTTAAAAATGTATAAACCACAGATCATTTGTACCAACTTTATGTTTTGTGACTCATTATATAATTTTCTATTTTTTTGATTATCGTCTTTTGTGGGCATGGCATGGAGCGATTTTGCCTTTCTTTAAGAGCCAGGGAATACGTGTACTAATTTTAATCAATATGTCTCCATTTTTACTCAAGTTATCTGCTGCATAAACAGACAGATGTCTGGGGATCAATTTATCTCTTCCATTAATATGTATAATTCTGAGATCGTAATCATTCATTATAAGTTTTATTTTAAAAATCATGTAATAATGATTGCACATTCAGTTTTAAGATTTTCTTCACCGATAGTAATTATATTTGATTGATATTATAATATATCGTAAATTATCATTATGAACAAAAAAAATTTAAATCATAAATAATCATTGAGAAATTTTTATTTCGATGACCTCGTTGCAGCTACAATCGTATTTGCCGACAGAAATTACTTTTTGAATAACTTTCATATTTTAAATCTGATAGCGATAAAATATGCAATAGGCATGCAAACCAGGACATACATATATCCTGTGTGCAATAGTTATATAATTACACTTGATATTCGATTTTTTTTTCATATTTTCGTATTTGATCTTTGAGTTGTATTCTAAAAAAACCTTCAACGAAGTTAGCAAAAGCCTTCATAAGAAACCTGTGATATGAAAATGAGTTTTATTTTGAGCAACTAATCATTATTTTTGATATTTATTATTTTTCTCTCTCAAAAGTAATAATTATTTGTGATTTATTATAAAACACTAATTATTATTTACGGTCCCTGCTAAAAATGCGTCCAAATATGAAATTCTTAACACACAATCTGAACTTTGGTTTACATAATATGTTTGCAAATCTCTGAGTATGTCATCTCTTTTTCACTTCGTTTCCTTAAAACTTTAATTAAAAAAGTTCAGGAGAAAACTTGAGATTGCTTATTAAAATATATCCTCACTAATTGAAGCTACATACATACATATGTAGAAAATGTGTTCTTTTACTTGAAACTACTCGACTGCAATCATCTTTTTAATAATTCTTATCAAGCATTGTATAAGCCTATATGGCCCCTGTACACGAACTGATTGTTCAATTGAGAGGCAATCGACTCTCAGCTTTGCCATCGTACCAAAAAATAATTCGTTGAACTCAACTCATTGCCCACCATTCCATAGTAGCCTTCGAAGCTAGAGAAAGATAAGAAATATCTGAGTTGATGATCTGTTCAGTGGTTCAAAGCAATTGCAAAATTTACTCCGGATTCTAGTTGCAGTGATAATGTAAGCTGAGATGAGGGAACAACGTGTACTTCTTTTGTGGTAATTTCTGTGGAAATCATATTAGTTTAGCATTTTTTGCGTTCATATTTATATTTTTTATATAAAAAATAGTCTTTTCGTCTCTTATGCATCAATTACTAAATCAAGATACTTTCACGAATGGGACGAATGTAAGTTACAGCATAAAGGAAATTATTCGGAATTTCCGAAAGATTTTTCCTTTGGCGTATCGACTGCAGCTTATCAAGTCGAAGGTGCATGGAATGAAGATGGAAAAGGGCCCTCCATTTGGGACACGTATACCCACTTGCATCCGGAACGAATCGCAGACCATTCAAACGGTGATGACGCTACAGAGTCTTATCATCGTTTTGCTCAAGATTTGGTCACATTAAAAGAACTCAAGGTGCATTAAAATGTATACATTTATACGATATGTGACCTAAACAACACTTCCAGGTTAACTTCTATCGATTTTCTATTTCGTGGCCTAGAATACTTCCCCATACAGATACTCGAGTGCAAAATCAAAAGGCCATTGATTACTATAATATGATGATCGATAAGTTACTAGAAAACAATATTGAGCCCATGGTAACAATGTTTCACTATGATATGCCAGAAGAGCTGACAAAATTCGGCGGCTTCACCAATGACATCGTTATTAAGTATTTTCGCTTTTATGCAGATTTTCTGTTCAAAACATTTGGGGATCGTGTAAAAAAATGGATAACATTCAATGAACCATTCGATTATTGTGTACCTGGCTACGGCAATGCGGATTACCCACCTATGGTACACGCTCCTGGCGTTGCCGACTACCTATGTATGGATAACACTTTAAAGGCGCATGCCTCCGCCTATCGCCTTTATAAAGCCAAGTATTCAAATTATCAAAAGGGTAAAGTAGGCATCACTATCAGCAGTCGTTTCTATTACACTAACACCACAGATTTTGGCTCAGAAGATATTGTGGATCGTGCAATGCAATACTCGGTGAAATTTTTCGCATCATTATACCAAACATACATACTTATATATTATTTAAATCACATCATTATCTTGTATATTAAAATATAGCTTGGTTGGTTGGCACATCCCATATTTGGAGAATCGGGTAATTATCCTTATACTATTATTGAAGACATTACAAGCAACAGCATGAAAGAAGGGCTTGCCTGGTCTCGTTTACGTCCCCTCAACTTATACTGGTCAAAAATTGTAAAAGGTTCAGGAGACTTTCTGGGGCTTAATTATTACAGCTCTCGTTTTGCCCATATGGCCGAACCTCCAGGGGGTGAAATTCCCTCTTTTGAACATGATTCACGCCTCAAATATTCGGTAGACAAGAGGTGGAAGCGTGCTAAATCTGACTGGCTCTATTGTGTACCGCAGGGTTTGGAAGATATCTTAAAGTGAGTAGGAGATATTAAAAAGAAAACCAAAAATTCCTTTGCCGTAGTTATTGCATATTGACCCAGCTATTTTTTTATTTAGGTGGATTCGTGATAACTACAACAATATCGAAGTATATATTACGGAAAACGGTTGGTCTGACGAAGGCGAATTAGATGACACAGATCGAATTGATTACCTCAAGGTAAATTTTAAAGCCCTGGGCACACATTCATACACAAATAACATATGTACGTAATCTGTACATGTACATAAATATGTACCTAAATTTTACGAAATTATCCAAAGATATAGTAATATATGTAAGTTTACATTTACGTATACTTACGTACATGCGTGTGTTCTTATAATTTTCAGTCTCATTTGCAAGCTGTGCTGAATGCCGTAAACGATGGGTGTAAAGTAACACACTACTCCCACTGGACTTTAATCGATAACTTTGAGTGGAATAGGGGCTTTACGTAAGTTAGTGCATTTTTTGAATTCCCCTTGATGTTTTGCGATTGCGTGCTAGCGACACCTTTAATCAAAAAACCTTCATTTCGTTGCAGCGAAAAGTTTGGTCTCTATTACTTGAACATGACAAGCAAAAACAAAGAGCGTGTTGCCAAAAATTCAGCCCCTTATTACAGGAGTGTCATTGAAAGTCGGAAAGTATCATCAAGCGACAATTTCGTATAAAAAGCTGGTGCAAGTTGAACAATAAACTTACAAAGGTACTCACAAATAAGCATACATGTCAATGTTATGAAAGTGGCTTTTGTGATTTGATTATAAATATATATGTACGTGCATTAAATAAATAAATTGCTTAAAGTTGAAATTAATGTAGTGGGTGTCTTGAAATATATGTGTCTGTGAAACTAACACATAAACACCGTGCAACTTATAAACATTTACATAAGAAAAGGGTGAACGATCACACAAACACATTAGTTTCGGTTAGAATCGACAATGGGCCCTTAAGAAACTCATAGAAACTTTAACATAAATCTTTGGTAGCGCTGTTGGGTAATTAACCGGTGATTTAACCGATAGATGACTTGCAGGGTAATTGAGATGTAGCTATGGTAATGTGGAAGAATGTTTCTCTCTGCTAAATGAAGTTACACAACATTGAATCGCAACAGTTTAAATTCAAATAATCGTACCGTAAAAGTCTAATTCTACGTTGACGTTTGTCAAGTAGAAAAAAAAGTTGAAGAAGTACAATCGTGGCTTACGAGAACAGAGCTGTGGTACAGTACGAAACGAAGTAATTATCGATCGTGATAGTTTAATGAATGCAACACTAATTTAAATTAATAGATTAATGCCGCGATAAATAATAACATGAAATGAAAGTAAAGTTGAACGAACTAAATAAAATTAGCAACACTCTTTTAACATCTAACATTTTGAAAAAACTTATATGTTAAGCAAGAATGAGTGAACAGGACCCAGAAATGACAAATTTCCAAGTGGACCAGCGGTCAAATTTTATCTCTTTAATATTACTGGATGCGTTGGAGGATGGAAACGAAAGGTAACAACGGAGACTAAATATTATTTTACATTAATTTTTTTTATAAAACTTTTATTTACATATGTATGAATTCAAATTGTTAGTGATATATACACCATAATAGCTAAAAATAAAGTAAATGCAAGTTATGTTCCTATTGAACGCGGTATATCACCCCTTCATTATGCATGTGGGATGGAAAATGCGGCAATTGCTTTGGATATTATAAAAATATTTCTCAAAGGTGGCGGTAAGTTAAAATATTTACTATGCTTTAAATATTTCTATGTATATTCTTTTTTTGCGAACTTAAGCGGACGCCAATGTTCGGTCAAATGAAAATATGACACCATTGCATGTTGCTGCGATTTTTGGCCGTGTAGATATAGTCAATTTACTTTTGGTACGTAAAACCTCTTATATGCTTTATATAAGCGAAGTTAAAATGAATAAAATTTAGAAATATGGTGCTCGACATGATTTACTGGACGATGAACGAAAAACACCAATACATTACGCTATCGAAGAGTGCCATTTTGATGTATTGGAGGCAATCAGAGATCATATTTTTCAATATAAATATGAACTCGTACGTAAAAGATCCGCAGAATATGTTTCTAATAATGGCAATTTTTCAACCAGAGAAGAATCAAATAAACAAGAAGAAAAAGATTCCAATGTGACACCTATTAACAGAATGCTTTCTAATGTTCGTAATAATGATTCAGGGAACCCTGATACACCAAACAATAAATACACACCGAACCGAGTACACTACAATTATGATGTGACATCTCCGTATTATATAAATATAACTCATCGTCGACACCGACCACAACCAATATTTCCGCCTATTGGATCTCCACCAGACTCTAAGAATAAATCACATAGTTTCGAGAAGTTAGAAATGCTAGACTCAAAGACTAAAGTAATTATTATATGTATATTTATCATAAAACTAATTTGATGTATAATTTTATGGACAGGAAGATACAGCAAAGGAATCAACTGACACACAATCTTCTGTTAATGTATTTCATCTCACTGAGAAAAATTTAAGGGATCTTTCAAAGACATCTAATTTAGATCGCTCCTGTATTTCAATGATCGAAGCATGGCGGAAGAAAGTTGAGTGCTCACGTGCTAAAAGGTCAATATTGAGGTGTTACTCAGATGTAGATGAAATGGTAGACGAAGTAATGAAAAGTGATCACCTGAACTTCACTAACATCATTTTACAAGAAAATCCAAAAACAGTTTCTGAAGAGAGTGAATCCGAAACAAATCCGATTATGATCTCAAATCTGTCTTTGGGAGCTATAATACAAAAAGCTGCCCAGGCCCATGTATTAGATCAAGAAGAACAAGTACCAGATCCTGATAGTAGTTATCATACAGTGCTCCCCATAGATGAGGATGAGCTCAGTGAAAGTATGAAGCAACAACCTTCGAAAAAAACACCAAAGAAATATTTAAAGGAAAAATCTGACAAAAATCCATCAGGAGATTATATATTACAAATGGCGGAAGCTTACGTCCATACGGATGATGAGAATGGACTAGTCTTTTACGAAACTAAACTTCTAAATAGTCGGATAGGTGCAACTAATTGGTACTAAATTAAAGCTTTTAAATATATGTGTTTGAAGTCTTTATATAATATTTAAATTAATATTTTAAGTGAACAACAAAATTTGGACAGTACTGTATCGACTAATGACACACATATTTTGGATTATGAAACTGATGAGCTGCGTGCTGAACTGGCTAATTTTGGCGATCCTCCTGGTAACTAACGCATGCATTATTATATCTTTATGTATACGCATAATGCTTAATCATTAATACTAAAATATATATTTTTTAAAGGTCCAATAACAAAGAGTACAAAAAGACTTTATATAAAAAGACTTATAAAATATAGAAGAAATGCTCCGGAACTCGAACAGATAAATACAAATGCACCTAAAAGTGCAAGTATGTAAAGTTTTACCATATATATAATATCTGTTGTTAATTTGTCTTGTATGAATTAGAATTATCTGTGGAATTGCAACGAACCATACGTTCTCCGGAACATTTTGCCCTAATACCAGAGTACCATAAGTACGAATGTAAATCGACTGAATATTTTGCTAATTTACAAAATAAACATAAAATGAGAGAAGGTCATCTTAAGCAGAGCTTTATATATATGCTAATAGATCCGCGAATTTCTTGTAACTTGCCGGGAGAAAGCTTGGTACGTTTTTAATCAAAAAAGTACTCTAAAACTAATAAAATATTTTCTCGTACATAGTATGTCGACAGGCATAAGGCGTGGCTGCGCTTCCTTGAATCAGTATTCTATGTTGGAAAAGGGAAAACTTCTCGTCCGTACTCCCATTTATATGAAGCTATGAAGTTACATTCCCGAGTTCATAGTCACCAGAAGATTACAAATTCCAGAACAGATATAGCGCATTCACAGCGAGAGAAAGTTTCATGTAAAATATAAATTTGATATAATTTGGATATTATGTTTAAATTCATTTTTTTTTTTTTTTGTAGCTTTGAAGAAACCAACCGTTTGTCTAGATATTTTTAAAGCAAGTGTTCAAAAGCCTTTGGATAACAAGAAGTTGGAACGAATTCTGGATATTTGGAGGAGTGGTAAAGGTGTGGTGTGCCTTCATGTTTTTCATAATATATTGCCTTCGGAAGCTTATACTCGCGAGGCGGCTATAATTGATGCCTTTGGAATACAGCATTTAACAAATAACAAGCGTGGCGACTACTACGGCCCAGCGCAAACTTGGACCATGAAGGAGAAAAAAATGTTTGGGATATCTTTATTATATAAAGCAATGCAAATATATTTAGCAGAAGGTGAATCACAGTTATCTCCCAGTGATCTCATATAAAATAAGATACAAAATGCATGTTTAAATAAAGTATGCGATTGTGATATTTTTGTATATACGAAAGAATATAACTGACGTAGATTGTACAAATCTTTATTCAATATATTTTATTTCCGATTACAGAAACTTTTAGTTTTAGAAAAAACAAAGGTATGTGATAAGGAAGTAAAAAATATTTACTTTTTCTGGCTTTTCTTCTCGTTTTCTTCTTTTTCCTGTTTAATAGCTTCAATGTGTCTTTTTACTTCTTCCGCAGAAAGAGTAACCAGTTTTGGTGCATCACCAGGTTTTTCTGCTTTTTTCATTACAACAATTTCTAAATTCCCACTGGACTGTGCTACCTCACGAAGAGCCTTTATTGTGAGTCTCACTGCCGAGTCTTCTTCTGCAACACTTTCCTCTTTGTAGTGCTTTTCTAAGTACTCGCGAACGGTTTTTGCAGCACGACCAACGGCATTGGCTTTCCATTCATAATAATTTCCAGAAGGTTCAGTCTGGTAAAGGTGCGGTTCACCATTGCTGTCGAATCCAGCTATCAAACACGATATTCCAAAGGGTCGCCTTCCATTGCTCTGTGTGTACTTTTGTTTTAATTGAGCAATGTACCTATCAGGTTATTATTTAAGTTCGATGTAAATTTTATTCGATATGTCTATATTCAAAGCAACCTTACCGTGTTATATATTCCAAGGTGACAGGATCTTCAACATTCAATTTATGACTTTGACATTCAACCCTAGCTCGGTTAATAAGAATACGAGCATCAGCAGTTAAACCGGCAAATGCTATGATAACATGTTCATCCAATGTACAAATTTTCTGAACGGTCCGATCTAATTGCAAAGTAGGCATTGATTTTTTTTCTACACCCAACACAACCACATCTTTTCCTCGAACTCCAACCTGAAATTTTTGTTAATAAGCGGTAGTATTTGGTCGAAATTCAAAAGGATTAATATGTACAAGGGAGGTTAAGGTCACTTACAGCAGAAGATCCTCGACGCACTGCTTCCTGTGCATATTCCACTTGTAACAAATGACCATCTGGGGAGAAAATAGTTACAGCGCGATCATAACGTGCAGACATTTTGCTGTAAACCTTATATTTCACAAATTTTGATAAAAAACTAATGTACAATGTACTGAGGCAACAATTACAATAAATGAAAAAGTGTTTGTCAGCTTCGCTAAAGAGCATTGCCAGACTTAGTTTGAGTTTAGTTAAAGTTGCCAGACCAAGGTTTGCATTGGAATGTAAAGAGTTTCACACAGAGATGGCTCTCAGAGTAAAATTAAATAGGAAAGAATAGGAATTTTGATGTGAGTAGGAACAGAAAGCATTCAAAATGCATGTTCTCTGATTATAATGCATGTAGTTTAAAAATTAGTTGAGTACATTTTATTTTCGTAAATTGTGTGCAAATTAAGTATGATTAATTGAAAGGAATAAAGAGTTGGCAGTCAGTTTTTGGTACGTCTTTTGAGATGTCATTCATCAGTTTCCTTTCTATTTATGTCGTCATTGTCCGATTTCTCAGATGGTTTTGACAGTATTTTGTGAACAACGTCAACGACGACGAAAAAAGTTTTGTTTTCCTTTTATTTTATGCAAAAGAATCAAATAAAATTTTTGTGTTGTATTTTTATAATTGGAAAGCATCCATGGACGATTGTTGCGTGATTTGAAACGAAAATAGAAAATTGCGTAAAAGTAACGGCTGTGACGGTGACAACGACGTCGGGTGCATGAAAAATTCTTGAGCTAAAAATTGAGATTTGTAGAATTCGTAAACGGTAACAAAGATGACGGCAACGACAACTTAGTCGACGAATGAAAGATAGCAAGAAAACCAAGCATAACAATTGAAGAAAAACTTCTAGTTTAAAATTCAGATATTCTATGTTGATAGAATAAAGTAAATATATTTGATTTATAAATTTGACAGAACAACGGAATACTTTCAACATATAGAGGTGGCTAAAAGTTATGGCATTGGCTAGAAAATTAACCGCAAAAATATGTAAGTTTGAACCCTTCTCATGCAAACATTATTCCTTGTGCGAAAGAACATGTTTTAATAACTTCTCAATGGAATTGTCTCAAAATTTCTCTGTAGATGAGATAAAAGCTCATGACGGAAATGTTACCAGTTTAGATCTTGGTGAAACTGGGAGTGTTTTAGTAACTGGAGGGCAGGACCGAAATGTGAATTTGTGGGCAATCGGTCGGGAAGAGCTTTTTATGGTATGTTATATGATATACGAATGTGGACTTTTGTCACAAATACATATGTTGTCATTCCAGTCTTTAACAGGACATAACAGGCCCATTGATTGTGTACGTTTTGCATACAATGACGATTTCGTCTATTCTGCGGATGATATTGGTATTATTAGGCGATGGGACTTAAACGCACAAACCATTTGTTCGACTTTGAATGGTCATATGAAAAGTGTACGAACTCTAGATTTTAATCCTTCCGGTGAATATGTGGTATCGGGTAGCAATGATACCACCGTCAGGTAAGCGTAACAATCTAATCGTTATGTTAAATTTACAATGTTACATGACCTAAGTATTACAAGTAATGTTGAAAATAACTTACATCTGCATTTATTGTTTTATATGTGAATTTGATTATCAATATATACTTGTATACAAGTAAATGCCAAACAACGACGAATTTTCCCCTTCTCGATTTTGTTTCGTTAGAGTTCTTATTTTAAACTCGATTCGCATTTCAATGAACTTTTAAGCACACCCCAAAGCATTTCAGCAGGTCATTATTGCGTAGGAGTTTTTATTTTTTGTCTGCTTTTGTTTTATCAACCGTACATAGTGGCATTATTTACCTTCGGTATTAAGTTATTTAAATTTTAGTCCGAAATCGGAATTTCAAGCTTTTATTAGATGAAACTGCATCAAAACGAGTTAACAAATAAACCCGCTCTGGTGTCTATATGTTAAATTGTATATTAATAAATGTTTTTAAATCCGTAATATCCATAAGACAGTTTGCCGAATTGTATTCATATTTGAAATAACTAAAAGCCCACACGCTAATACTACTTCTGTATCTTATAAAAAGCGTACTTGAAGCTTGGTTGCTGTCAATGCTTACCTACATACAAACACATCTCCATTCATACTTGTTGCCAACATTTTTGTAAAAGTAAATATAAAGCAAGCATATTTTTATTGATGTTCAAAGAATAAACACATGCATATGCATATGTGCGTACTTACAAAAGTATATATGTATGTATGTATGCTATAATTTTCATTCCGGTATTTTTTTACAAGCGTCATATTCGTGGTTTCGCTAGTATTTTATTGCTTAATTTTAACATTAATAGCTCAACATGTCGCCAAGGATGACATGATGCGAGACTCTCTCATTTTCGCTGATTTTTCTGTTATTCTCTTTCCCTGATTATTAAAATCAGGGAATTTCGAACAGCTGATGTCAAAAAAGGCGGGATGCCAGAAATAAACCCGCTAAAAATAGCTAACAAAAGCAGTGCGAAACGAAATTTCAGGGAACGACACAAATACATTTGAATAACGTGCAACTAAATTTTATTTGTTAATTTAATTTAAAACGTTCATTATAAAACCATGATATTTTATTATGACTTGTATTGTTTCTTTGTTATAATTTTTTTTATTTATATGCTAATTTTTTATGTTATATGCATTTTTAAAAATTTTATAATATAAATACAAGTATATAGGGATGTATATGCGTTATATAGGCCTACTTGGGGACGGATCACCTAAAAATAATATCGAAATGCAAAATACCCCCAAGTTTTTTTTATAATACCCAATCCATTTTCGTTCGACAGTGGCATGATTGGCAAATGTTATAAAAAATGTGGGTTTTGACAGCTCTCTCTCGATTCAAAGAGTCTCGCATCATTTCATCCTTGATGTCGCTATCATAACTATTAGCACATTAAGTGTAACTGGTTTACAAACAATGAAGATGGAATTAAAGAAAGTTTCCAATGTCACTTCTAGCGGGAATTTGTACTTTTGTTTATATGAAAAATCATATATATCGACGATGACATTTAAAAACAAGGTGATAAAGCCTATTGCGAATTTGTAATCGAAGTTGATTGATGTTCTTGAATTGTCTGAAAAGAAATGCTCACGTCATCTGTATTGTTTTCATCCGCTCAAGGACTGTTAATATTTTACCAATAACATTAGTACGAAATCTCTTTGTTGTTTTGGTTGAAATAAAATTTGTCGTTCATTTTGTTTTCGTATACTTTCCTCTTTTAAGAACTACATGATAAAAACTAATCATATATGTACATATATAATATGTATGTATACTTCTGATCATTTCGAAAATAACATTTTTATATTGTACAATTAAACAAACTACTTTTGGGTAGAATAAAACTGCAATCTTCTATTGGTTAAGAAAATAAATGTATTTAAGTAATAAGAAAATACCCCTTTAAAAACCATAAAATATTATTTTGCTTTGATTCAAGTCAATATATGTGTTTTGGAACTTCACAATTTGGCCGAAATCTCCTTTAGATCTACATATCCCCCAATAATTGCCTTCGTTCCAGTTTCCACGACGGTGGTAGTAAAGAGAACTCGCTTGGCTTCCTTCCACATGTCAATCCTAAGTGTTTGACCTGGTATGACAGGAGCTGAAAATCTTACCTTTACAGCTTTAAAAAGTGATACATTATTATTAGCGTACTGTGCCAAAACCGCGCGTACTGAGAAACCCAATGAGCATAGACCATGTAAAATGGGTGTCTTAAACCCGGCTATAGCAGCAAAATCAGGATCAATATGAAGAGGATTCAAATCACCAGAGAGTCTGTACAAGGCGGCTTGGTCCTCTGATGTTTTGTATTGACACGTGGCGTCTGGGCTCCGATTCGGTGGGTTCACAATTGGTACAACTCCGTTGATCGGTGTCTTTTTGCCACCAAAATTGCCAGCTCCAACTATGAAAGTGGAACATTGATTTTTAACTAAAAGTCGGCCACTATCATCATATGTGTCAGTATTTGTAACAACAAGTGCGCCAGATCCCTTGTCCATAACATCAAATACTTTTCCAATAGTGGTAAGGGTTCCGCT